TATTCAGCCCGTGGCCTCTATTGCTACGTTATGATGACTTTTGGATTGAAAAATGCTGGGGCCACATATCAGAGATTGGTCAATAAGATGTTTGCTCGTTTAATTGGCCATACCATGGAAGTCTATGTAGACGACATGTTGGTGAAGTCGGAACAGGCCGTCGACCATATTGCTCATCTCTCTGAAGTCTTTGATATACTCCGAGAGTACTCCATGGTACTTAACCCTAAAAAATGCACTTTCGGAGTTGGGTCAGGAAAGTTTCTAGGGTACATGGTGAGCCAAAGAGGGATCGAAGCCAATCCTGCTAAGATTCAAGCCATACTTGACCTAGCTCCCCCGACATCTCTCAAAGCCGTCCAAGCCTTAACTGGTCGGCTGGCGGCCCTTAATCGGTTCATTTCGAAATCCACGGACCATTGTAAATCATTCTTTGACGCTATCAAGAAGACGAAGTCGTTTGAATGGACCACGGAATGTCAAAATGCTTTTGACAACATTAAACAGGTTCTTTTGCAGTTACCGACCTTACAAAAGCCGCTTCCCGACGAGCCCCTCTATTTGTATCTCGGTGTAAGTGATGTTGCCGTTAGCGCTGTCCTTATACGTCAAGACGGACTTCAGCAGTTTCCAGTGTATTATGTTAGCAAGGCCTTGCATGACGCGGAGTTACGATACCCGCATATGGAGAAGCTCGCCTACGCTCTGATCATTGCTGCACGGAAATTGCGCCCATATTTTTTGGAGCACTCGATTGTTGTGTTTACGGCATATCCCCTCCGCCAAATCCTTCATCGACCTGACACGTCGGGAAGAATGATCAAATGGGCAATTGAGTTGGGACAGTTCGATATACAATACCGGCCACGAACCGCTATCAAGGCCCAAGTATTGTCTGATTTCATTGCTGAATTTACCCCCGCTATTGATTTATCTATTAAAGATCCAACCTGGACTCTCTACATTGACGGGTCGTCTACCACTATACGAGCCGGGGGGGGAATCGTCTTGGTTAGTCCCGATCAACAAGTATTTTCTTACTCTGTGGCATTCACTTTTCCAGCCACCAATAACGAAGCCGAGTACGAGGCCCTCTTATCAGGATTGCACTTTGCCGAGTCCATGAATGTTTCCTCTCTTCGGATATTTTCCGACTCCCAATTACTAGTCAGTCACATCAACGGCACTTACGAAGTAAAGGAACCACGGCTGTTGCCCTATTTTGATCTTGTTAAAAAGAAGCTAACACGATTCAAAGTGACGCTGGAACACATACCTCGCTCGTCTAACATCCAGGCGGACGCTCTTTCACGACTGGCTTCATCAACCGACTTGGATAACGTTGAATTCGTACAAATCACTCAACAGGCGACCTCATCTACAGTCTCAACCGACGTCGCTATGGTTGACGCCACCTCAGTAACTTTAAATCCTACATGGATGGATCCCATCATCGATTATCTCCGGACTGGGGCCTTACCTGAAGACTTGAAAGAAGCTCGTGCTCTCCGTGTTCGTGCTGCTCATTACACTATCGATGACGGGACGTTATATAAACGCGGGTATTCAACCCCATTGCTTAAATGTTTGTCAGAGGAAGATGCCCAGCGAATCTTGCAAGAAGTACATGAAGGAGTCTGCGGCACCCACCAAGGAGCTCGAGCTTTGTCTCACAAAATTCTCCGACAAGGCTACTATTGGCCTACCCTTCGGAAAGATGCCGCGGATTGGGTACGACGATGTCACAAATGCCAGATATTTGCTCCCAACGTCAATCAGCATCCTGAACTCCTCACATCAATATATAGTCCATGGCCATTCGCAAAATGGGGAATTGATTTAATTGGCCCGCTTCCGACATCGAAAGGAGGAGTTCGGTTTGCTATATTAGCTGCAGATTACTTCACCAAGTGGGTTGAAGCTGAGCCCCTTACTACCATCACCGAGCAAAAAATGGTAGATTTCGTTTGGAAATCAATCGTTTGTCGGTTTGGCGTCCCCAACTCCATTATAACCGACAACGGTCGTCAGTTTGAAGGTAAACGATTCGAAAGTTTCTGTGAAGATTACGGTATTAAGCATTTCTTCTCGTCACCTTATCATCCACAAGCCAATGGACAAATAGAGGCCGTAAACAAGATTATCAAGAATGGCCTGAAAACTCGACTTGAGGCTGCAAAAGGGTCATGGCCCGATGAATTGCCTTATGTCCTCTGGTCTTATCGAACAACAGCGAGGAGTTCAACCGGAGAAACTCCGTTCTCGTTGGCTTATGGAACTGAAGCTATGATACCGGTTGAGCTTGCCTCTCCATCATATCGGGTCACTCACTTCTCCGAGGAAACCAACTCGGCAAACTTGAGAGCCAGTCTCGACCTGCTCGAAGAACTACGTGCTAATGCTGAAGTTCGCAATGCTGCTTATAAACGGCGTAGCGAAAAATATATAAACTCAAGGCTCAAGCCACGTTCGTTTGTTAAAGGAGACCTCGTCCTGAAAAGAATTACTGGTGCTCATGTCGGCCCATTGCAACCAAAATGGGAAGGACCCTTCAGAGTGAGTCGCCAGATTTCTCATGGTACTTTCCGACTCGAAACATTGGACGGTGTTCCCCTTCAATATCCTTGGCATACAACATACCTGAAGAAATATTACCAGTAAACCTGATGCCGAAAGTCCTATCCCCGACGTGTAAAAAAAAAAAACAACAGAAGGTTTTTTGTCCTACTATTGTACACAAATCATGTTTTGTTATCAATAAACTTTGTGT